CCCGGGGGAGCCCGTGTAGGGTGGGAGGGACCCGGGGAGGGGCCGTGGTTAGGGTTGGAGGACCCGGGGAGGAGCCCGTGTGGGTTTGTGGGAGGGACCCGGGGAGGGAGCCCGTGTGGGGTGGGAGGGACCCGGGAGGGAAGCCGTGTGGGGTGGGAGGGACCCGGGGAGGGAGCGCTCTTTTGTGGGTGGGAGGGGACCGGGGAGGGAAACCGTGTGGGTGGGAGGGACCGGGGAGGAGCCGTGTGGGTGGAGGGCCGGAGGAGCCTTTGGATGGGTGGAGGGACCGGGGGGGGAAGGGGCCCGTGTGGATGGAAAGAAAAGAAAGGAACACCAGAGAAAAGAAGGAGACACAAGATGAATAAGGAGAGGAGAAAACAAACCGGAGAGAGCGATATAGGAAAAGAAGTAGGAAGAAAAGAAGGACACGGCCGAGAGCGCTATGGGGTGGGAGGACCGGGGAGGGAGCGTGTTAGGGTGGAGGACCTGGGGAGGGCGCGCGTGTGGTGGGAGACGCGCCGAGTGAGCGCGAGGGGAGCCGTGAGGACCCGGAAGAGAGAGCTGTAGGGTGGGAGGGACCGGGGAGGGAGCCCGTGTAGGGTGGGGAGGACCCGGGAGGGAGCCGTGTGGGGTGGGAGGACCCGGGGAGGAGCGCCGTGTGATCTCTCTTCCGGCCAAGATCATTATTGTATTGTATAACCCAATATTACTCTATTAAAGACAGAAACAGGAGTTTGCAGGGTTTTGCAATTCCTTTGTTTGAAGGAATGTGTGGACTCAATGGTTCACTTATTAGAGGCTGCTATCCTGGGAGAGCTCTCAAATCTACGGTAGGGATGTTTTCCAGGGAAGTATCTCAAAATCTGTGAGCTTCCCTGTGTCTTGAAAGACAAGGCGAAGAGGGCCCACAGGGTGGGAGCCCAGATGATGAGTGCACTTTGCCCAGAGATGCGCCCCGGTGGTTAGAGACAACCTGTTTATGGGAGAGGGGCCTCCTGCTCTCTCCTGTCTGCCTACCTGCAAGTCCACCGTAACTAATCGAAGAAATACACAGAGTCACTGTACCTCTTTTGTTTTACCTTTGCTAAGTGAGAAATACCTCTTTAGAGGTTAGGCCCCTGACAGACTTTGTACCTGTTTGTTCATCTAGGTAGGTTAGAAGCCCCTAGAGAGGACTTTGGACCCCAACCCACTACCTTTGTCTCCCCTAGCAACTGCATTCCCTGATATGCAAATGTGTTACCCTGACAACTGGTAATTGATGCCTGTGATTACAAAAACCTGTATGGACTTGTGGGGGGAGGGGGGAAAGGGCTTTTATTGAAACCTTAAAATTTGCACCCCCATAATATGCCAAAAAAAAACCCTGTATGAATCTAACCATATTGCTGGTGGTTATGGAGATGCACCAGTCCCCTAGGGGCCCCCGCTGTGTTATATCTGATATATATACATATACACATATATGTATATATACATATATGTACATATATGCATATATGTATATAAACTATACCTTAGACTCTGTGTATTCTTTTATTTCTCTCTGTTGCCTATCAATTTCCTTATCCTCTGTGGAGACCCCTATCTTAGGGACCTGGCTCCGCGGGGAGAAGCAGCTGATCTCCTCAGGGGCCTGCCTCAACTACTCTCGCCCCCCACACCTGCTTGTTCAAGTATTGCTTTCTTTTTCTTTTTTTTCTTTTTTTTTGTTTTTTTGAGACAGAGTCTAACTCTGCTGTCCCGGCTAGAGTGTCAATGGCGTCAGCCTCGCTCACAGCAACCTCCAACTCGTGGGCTCAAGCGATCCTGCTGCCTCAGCCTCCCGAGTAGCGGGGACGACAGGCATGCGCCCCCATGCCCGGCTGATTTTCTCTCTATATATATATTATTTAGCCAATTAATTTGTTTCTGTTTATAGTAGAGACGACGGGGGTGTCGCTCTTGCCCAGGCTGGTCTCGAACTCCCGACCTCAAGCGATCCGCCCGCCTCGGCCTCCCAGAGTGCTGGGAAGACGCTGACGCTTTAAAAGGACTGAGAAGCGAACCCCGGGCGGGGACGGCCTGCAGGCCGGCGTGTCGCGAGTGCGGGAGTTCGCGCTTTCCCTCAACAATGCCACAGCGGAGAGAGGCAAATGTCGGGGTGACGCGCGGGTGTCGGGGACGCACCTCAGCCGCCCCGTGAGGCGGAAATCCGACTTGGCTCGCGTCTATTCCGGTTTCCCGCCGTTTGGGAAAGGGGTTTGAAAATAAATTGAACGTGAGGAAAACTGGAGCAGGCCCCAGCGAGATTTGAACTCGCGACCCCTGGTTTACAAGACCAGTGCTCTAACCCCTGAGCTATGGAGCCAACTGCAGGAGAGGCTTCTGCGCAAGGGCAGTAGACGCCGGCCCTGGGCCCGCGCAGCCGCAGATCGCGCGGTCAAGGAGCTGAACGGGGAAAAGGTGGAACAGATGTTTCTCGGTGCAGCGGCCGCCGCCTGGCGCGTAGCGTCTGTAAGTGCAGCAGACGCTGGCGGCTCGCAAACGCTTGGGGAGACCATGCAGGCGCCTGGGGGGATGGGGGTCAAGAGGTCAAGGCTACAGAAAAGGCCAGGGGAGGAATGTCCCTGGGGCTGTCCTGCGGGAACGCAGGCCTGAGCTGTGCAGGTGGGCCCTGGGGGGGGCCGGGGGGGCGAGGAAGCAGTGGGGGCGTGGAGAGGTAGAGGCTGGGAGGGAGTGCATGGGGGATTTGAAAGGTGGAGATGTTTGGAGGTGCTGGGCCAAGGTGGGGCGGGGGTGGTGAAGGGTGACCCTTGCATCACCTAGGGGTGAATTAGGAAAAGACAATTCTTAGGGCTTGCCTTGACTCAGGAGCTGGTCTGTCAAGACTCCTAAAAGGCACAGGGGTTGAAGGACAGGGAAGGAGGGTGAGGGCCCAGGTGACAGGAGCCCTAACCTGGCAAAGGGTAGAAAGTGGTGGCTTTAGGTGGTGGGCCTTGGCCTTGTGGCCCAGCCTGCCCTATGGTCCCTGCAAGGTTAGGCATCCTCTCAGCCTTGATGCTGAGGGCCTGTGAGGGTCTGCTGGCAGGGGCCTGGATTCTCTGCCCCTAAAGATATTCCCACAGTGGCCGGGCATGGTGGCTTGGGCCTGTCATCCCAGCACTCTGGGAGGCCAAGGCGGGCGGATCGCTAGAGGTCAGGCATTTGAGACCAGCCTGAGCAAGAGCGAGACCCCGTCTCTACTATAAATTGAAATAAATTAATTGGCCAACTAATACATACAGAAAAAATTAGCCGGGCATGGTGGCGCGTGCCTGTCGTCCCAGCTACTCTCGAGGCTGAGGCAGGAGGATCGCTTGAGCCCAGGAGTTGGAGGTTGCTGTGAGCGAGGCTTGACGCCACGCACTCACTCTAGCCTGGGCAACAAAGCGAGACTCTGTCTCAAAAAAAAAAAAAGATATCCCCACAGTGTGTATTTCCATCTCCCCATCGCCCTTCCAGGGGAGCACGGAGCAGGGAACAGCCCGCTGCCACCCTCCCACACGCTCAGCCATCCAGAAGGCGGGGAGCAATTAGCCAAGAGGCAAGGAGGCAGCCACCCTCCAGGGCACTGGCCTGGCTCCACCACTGGCATACATTTGCCAGGTTCCAGAAAGGGTCTGTCAGGGGTATGTTTGTGCATTTCTATGCTGGTGCTGGTTACATCTGTAAAATTATAAATACCAACTTTTGTTTCAAAGTTCCAGAAGCTTTAATCTCAAGGGAGGCTGTACTTTGGCTCTGGGGAACGGAGGGTTTGGAATCCATGAGGACATGTGTCACTGGGGCCGCTGGGGTCAGGATGCAGCGACTCTGTCATCAGACTAAGGGGTGTTGGAAAGTGGCCATGCTCCCGCTGCTGTGTCCTGGCTTTCCCTCACATGGCATCGGAGAGACTCCTCCCAGGCTGGCCCAGGCTCTCCTCTGAGCCGGGAGCACCGTGCTCCGCCCCGAGCAGGCAACTTTATCAGGCCAGCTGGATCCAGAGGCCCAGTGACCATTCAAGGCAGAGCAGGGAGCCATCAAGAAGGCAAGGCAGGGCCGGGCACGGTGGCTCACGCCTGTAATCCCAGCACTCTGGGAGGCCAAGGCGGTGGATCACTCGAGGTCAGGAGTTCAAAACCAGCCTGAGCAAGAGTAGAGACCCGTCTCTACTATAAATAGAAAGAAATTAATTGGCCACCTAATATGCATAGAAAAAAAAAATTAGCCGGGCATGGTGGTGCATGCCTGTAGTCCCAGCTCCTCGGGAGGCTGAGGCAGGAAGATCGCTTGAGCCCAGGAGTTGGAGGTTGCTGTGAGCGAGGCTGACGCCACGGCACTCACTCTAGCCTGGGCAACAAAGCGAGACTCTGTCTCCAAAAAAAAAAAGAAGGCAAGGGAGAAGTGATGATGAACCTGGCTGGCCGACCCTGAGGGCAGCTCAGGACCTGCCTGACCTCATTCCTGGGAACGCA